GCCATTTGCTTTTGCCAAATACTTGAGTATTTTTAACTTAAAAATTAATTAACTGCTTCAATCACCAATAAGCATCTTTTCAATGTAGGATGGAGGAGAAAAAAACCAGAAAACATGCTCTTATTTTTCTTTTGATTTGTGATCTGTAGATAGTTTGTGCATTGTATTTGAGAAATTAGTTTAGCAAATCATGTAGTCATTAAAAACTACTTTTACTTTTATAGACAACTCAGTTTGGGGAAGTTAAGAAACCACAAGGGCACAACTAAAAACTGTTTGGGAGTGTACAACCAATTTAATCCGCTGCATCTTTAAAGAAATGCTTATTTTCCACACTATTTATCAGATCTAGATATAGTATGTTTTTCTCAGCAACAAACTGAACATGATTAATATGCTTGGCTGAGATTTGATTCTATTCCAGGAGCACCATAACCTGTGAGAAGTTTGAAGAACTCTGTGAGGATCTTTGGGAGAAATCTCTTACACCTGTGAAAGAAGTTCTCAAGTATTCTGGTTTGGAAGTGGATGACATATATGCAGTGGAGTTGATTGGAGGAGCAACTAGGGTACCGAAGTTGCAGGTTTGCATTGTCTTTGTTTCTTCACTTGTATTCTGTGCCCAAAAAGAAAAAAAAAAATACCTATGCTGTGCTGGATCCATGCAATTCCACCAATACATGCAAACATAAAAAGGTAAAAAAAATGCTGACATTTGGTTGCTTTTGGCTTCATCTGTAGTTCTGTGGATAAAATTTGAAACTGAATTCCACCGTCAAAGTATGTTCAGTTGACTTATTCATAATTAAGATTACATATTTGACTACTAGTAGACTGGCAGTGTTTGTGTAAGACTAGTTCATTCCTTGTTTTACTAGTTTTTGATCTGTTGTGTGGGAACCATACTGTTCCACAAATACATATAAACCTGAAAACTAAAAAGAGATGCAGACAGCAGTTGCTTCTAGGTTCTTCCATAATTCTATGTATGGCACTTGTAGCTAAATTTTGTTATCAAAGTTTGTTTAGAGGACTTGTTCGGAATTAAGATTACTTTTCTGACCAGTAGTAGACCAGCAGTGCTTGTTTAAGATCAGTTCAGTCCTTCTTTTACTGCTTTGTGGTTTGACTTCTGTTATGCCCCTTTTTTTATTTGAATAATAGTGGGCAACTGTTAAGGTAAATAACATATATATATATGTATATATTAATTAGGTTTTTTTTTAAAAAAAAAAATTGTGGCTGGGTGAAGGATATTTTATAGGATGTACTTCTTATCTTTTACACATGTTATAACTTAGGACTGGTAACCTCCCATTAAGGTTTTTGTGGTAATTAGCCTTTGAGGCTTTGGGATCAATGTGAGGGGGAGAGAGGGAGGGGGGATGAAGAGAAGTGCATATTAGGTACAAGGTCTATGACTCTGGATCATATTATGGGGCTATGGGTTTGGGGGTTTTCTTTTTTTTTTCTTCTTTTTGGGTTGCACAACCGGAGACAACCTCTCCCATCGCAAAACCCAACCCCACATGGGGCTATGGCATTTATCTAAAAGAATCCGCATCTGTTTGAAGAAAATTTCACCTTCCCTTGTGTTCCTTAGCTACACAGCTATTATTTAATGAAGGAAAAATGTGAAAGTAAACTTGCTTTTTTCATGACAGGTTAAGCTCCAGGAATCTCTTGGAAAAAAAGAGCTGCACAAACACCTGGATGCTGATGAAGCAATTGTTCTTGGTGCAGCCCTTCATGCTGCAAGCGATGGAATCAAATTGAATCGTAAGCTAGGAATGACAGATGGTTCTTCGTATGGATTCTTTGTTGAATTAGATGGACCTGATCTTTTGAAAAACGATAGCAACAAGCAGTTACTTGTTCCACGGATGAAGAAACTCCCCAGTAAGGTAAAAGATGTTATCTGAAATTGATAGAAATGAAAGTGGATGCATTCCCTTTCTAGTTTTGCTATTGGCCGTGTCTGATTTCTTCATGGACAGATGTTCAGGACCATCGCCCATGATAAAGATTTTGGAGTTTCACTTGCCTATGAAAGTGGAGATCTTCTACCACCTGGTCTTTTGTCCCCTGTGTTTGCTCAGTGTGTTGTGTCTGGTTTGGCAGAAGCATCTGAGAAGTAAGTATTTTATGTGAATTTCTTTAGTCTTAGTGCTTTAAAGAACTCGTTACTTTCTTCTTCATTAGCATGCAAATAATGCATGATATGGTTTTCCTTGGCAATCTGTGTGTTCCCTAGGTATGCATCTCACAATTTATCTGCACCTATCAAAACAAACCTACACTTTTCACTTAGTAGAAGTGGAATCATTTCTTTAGATCGAGTGGATTCTGTTATTGAAATATCAGAGTGGGTAGAAGTTCCTAGAAAGAATATATCGGCAGAGAATGCAACTGTTGCTTCATCTAACATATCTGCTGAAGTTGGTGCCGAAAAGGTGTCAGAAGAAAATAAAGAAGGCTTGAATTCTGATAGTGTAGTGAGCAGTGCATCTAATACTAACACTAACACTAACACTAACACTACTGTTGAAGAACCAAGCACAGTTGATCTTGGTACAGAGAACCTGGAATGTCTCTGTCAAAAGAGTCTCTTGCTGAAGCCAAAGGTAAATTGGAGGCCCTGGACAAGAAGGATGCCGAATGAAGAAAAACTCAGGGTTGAAAAATAATCTTGAAAGCTATATCTAAGCTACAAAAGAAAAGGTACATATTCATTGAGTTTTACCCGTTAATGTTATTCATATGTGGAAGTTTTGAATCATTTGAGTTAAGGGGTTTTGTCTTTTACTCCCCTTTTTTTTTTTTTTTGGTTTTATTTATTTAGTTTTTGCATTGTATTAGATTGGTATATCTTTTTCAAATGTTTATTATTTTATTTTTAATAATTCTTGTTGATTATTCTGCCTTTCAAGTGGCTGTTTTCTTTTTGCTTCCCAAGATTGTTGTTTTATTTAGTTACATTTTCTAAGAGAGTCTGTTTTCTTTTCTTTGTTTAATTATTCTAAGAAAGGCATTTCTGATAGCTTAACTTTACTTTTTTTCTCGATTTCTTTATTGCTTTACCAGCTTGAATCTGAAGAATTTGAGAAAATGTCTTCTGTAGATGAACGCCAATCCTTTATGGAAAAGCTTGATGAGGTTAGCTCTTCTTTTCCTATGTTATTTTGATAGTTCACCTTTTGGTCTTACTTCTAAGTTTTTTACATAAGCATGTGTATTAATTAAGGTTCAAGAATGGCTATACACTGATGGAGAAGAAGCCACAGCTACAGAGTTTCAAGAACGCCTTAATTCATTAACAGATATTGGTGATCCGATAGTGTTCTGGTATGACCTACTTTCTGGGGATATAGGCTTCATTAAGTTGAATTGGGTATAACCTAAGCCTCTTCTATCACA